TTATTGCTGGATGAATGACTAAAAATACATATTGTCGAGCATAAGGCGTCTGTGAATTTTGTTTTGCAGGAGGATGCACCGAGAAATAGCGCTTCGTTGAGCAGCAGTCAGAACTTGAATTCGTCTCTCCAAAAAAAGAACAATTCGCTTAAACTCAAAATACATAAGGTTTGTTTGTATCATACCTCAGTTGAAGCATCTTAACTTCGTCAGCAGGCATTGCACTTAATCCCAATATCATAGCAGTATTGAGGCTAGATGTTTTAATATCTTGTGGACTTTTCGATCACGGCTTTACGCCGTTTGTCTCGCATAATTTGCACAATACACGTTTTCACTTGGCCCTCACACTATTCTACATTCAAAAATCAAAAAGTCAAGACCTCTCTGTACGCGTTCTCTGTGAGAGGCGAAGGCACTCGGAAGGTATTTGTGTAGTAGCAAATGCCAACAGCAACCATCTGCTTGTGGAACTCTTTTGAGGGTTGCTTATAATCAAGTTGATCACAGGCACTTTGCACTTGACGCGTAGCGTATGTCGGCACCAATTTATCATCGAAACGAATGAACGAGTCGTAGAGGATTTTTGCTATCCAAGTGATAGAGGGTTAGCTGTTTAGTGGCCGGATCAATGACAGTGCTACTTCCCACTGCATTATGCTCGTCGGGACAAATCCAGCAATTCTCTGACAATCTTTCCATGGCTGCCCTAGTTGAAGCTGTTGCACTGCACCATCCTTGTTCCGTTTTTCCAAAAAAGATTGCTTATCATGTCATGTGAGCTCTTTGTATGCGTTTTTGCCGTGCAGCGCTAGAGCGCTGCAACAGGCAGCAAAAACGCATATTACAACGACCCTGTCAGCATATGTGTATGTTTGTGTGTGTATGTGCGTATGTGTTCGTCTGTCCGGGTATTTCAACTCGCTAACCGGGCAGGCTTTGAAGCTGAAATTTTGCCACTGTGTTCCAAAGTACCACCTCAGGACCGCAGTTTCAACCCTCACGCACGTCTGGACCCCGCGTACGAGCATGTGAAAGTTTTGACGCAAAAATCGCTGACTCGGGAAAAAGAAAAGCTAGGAAGCTGAAACCTTTTGAGAATCGTTCCCACCCGTATATACAAAAAAAAAAGATTTCAAATTCAGCTGCCCAGGACTGCCCGGGGCTCACGTACGGGCACGTGAAAATTATGGCGAGAAAATTCATACAGCTGCCCAGGACTGCCCGGGGCTCACGTACGGGCACGTGAAAATTATGGCGGGAAAATTCATAAGTCGAGAATGAAAAAAGTCAGAAAGTTTAAACTTTGGGAAAGTGTTCCCTACCTATGCGCGACCAAAAGTTTTCAAATTCAGCTGCCCAGGAGTGCTCGGGGCTCACGTACGGGCACGTGGAAATTTTGGCACGAAAGTCACTAACTCGGAGACGGGAAAAGCTAGGAAGCTGGAACTTTAAGGGAATGTCCCCTACTCATGTATAGCAAAATCAGGTGTTTATAAGTGCCCGAGCCCACTTGCAAGCGCGTGGAAATTTTGGCGCGAAAATTACTAGCCCGGAAACGGGAAAAGCTAGGAAGCTGAAACTTTAGGGTAGTGTTCCCTACTCGTGTACAAGCGAAATCAGGTGTTTAGAAGCATCCGGGGCTCATGTATGGTCACATGGAAATTTTGGCGCGAAAACCACTAACCCGAGAACGAAAAAAGCTGGAAAGCTGAAATTTTATGGGAATGTCCCCTACTCATGTAGAAACAAAATCAGTTGTTTAGAGACGCCCAAGACCTAAGAACGCCACATGTAGGAGTTTTGACGCGGAAATTAACCCGGGAAAGGAAAAAGCTAGAAAGCTAAGACTTCAAGGCAATGTTCCCCACTCACGTACGAGCAAAATCAGGTGTTTAGAAGCGCCCGAGCCCACGTACGAGCACGTGGAAGTTTTGGCGCGAAAATCACCAATTCAGGGATGAAAAAAGCTAGAAATCTGAAAGTTTAGGGTTATGTTCCCTACTCACGTGTGACCAAAAAATTTTAAATTCAGCTCCTTAAAACCGTCCGGTACGTACGTACGGAAGCGTGAAAATTTTGATGGGAAAACTGCTAACTCGGGAACGGGAAAAGCTGAAGGCTTTAATTTTAAGCGTATGTTCCCTGCTGATGTGCGACTAAAAAATTTTAAATTTAACTCTTCTAGTGTAGCCTTTTTTTGCGGACCAGCAACTTTCCACTTGTCGGGTCACTGAAGTCGACACCTAGAACTGACATACTACATAGTTGCACAATCAACTTCCCGAACTTCGAGGCCCAATATTTCACAGGGTTAGCTACTTTGATTCCTTGCGATCTTGCTACGACACGAAAAGTGCAAAACGCGTAATCGCTCCGGCCCGCCTGGTGCGTTCCAGCCTGGGTTTGTCCTTCGATGTTCGCCATATTACTTCGTAACCACCGTCGGTGATAAAAAAGTGCGCAAGGAATTAACTGTGTTGGAGTTTCAAAGGGCGCCACTCATCTAGTGCAAAGGTAATTAAAGCGGCAGGAGGGGGTGGCCACATGAAATTTTCTCTTACCCTGTACTTAATCAAATTTCAGAAATCTATCAGACAGCAGGATAAAACGCACATTCCAGCTACAGCTGCTAAAAAGACTGAAAAATGGGGTGAAAAAGATGAAAGTTGCAGTAGCGAACCTCAATCGAGTACCTCAACAGTCGAAAGGGCCTCACTGCAAGAACCGGATAATAAGAACTGCCTCCCTTCCACTGGTGAACAGGATGAAGCGAT